GCATTATTTTGACATATATATTTAGTGTGAAATAACTTAGAAGATTGTGATATTATTATTTTAGGCATTACAATCTTTAAATATTGCTTTACAATCGGGTCAATTAAGTACTTTTCTTAATCAATTAGGTTTAGACCCGTCAGCCGGTAACGGTAATTATTTATTTTTTAATACACTTGTAATATTGTGATTAATTATTAATTGTAGATCTGATGATGTGAATGTTTATTATTTTAGGTGTTGAAGCTTTTCTTCGGGCACTTCAAGAACAAGCTTCTAGACATCACGGGGAACATCGTGATGATAATGAAGAACAAAGTGGGGATCGAATGGAAGAAGATTAGAATAAGTAGAAAAATGAATATATTGTATTTATTTCAACGAACACATACGAAACTTGGAATTTTTGATTTGTAAATACTAAAGCACATTCCAAACCAATCAATCAACCAATCAAACAAACAATCATGGTTCATTTGATGAATTTAGAGTGTCAAAATAGACTCGGGTCTAGACTTAGGTATGTAGATCCGGGTCTAGGATAAATTTACCCATGAATTTAAGTTTAATTTATCACATGAATATTATATTTCATTGATTTCATTGGATTAATATTAACACGTCGGGCAGCACATTTTATAATAAATACAATAAATATAATAATATAAATAAATAAAATTAACACCTAATAATTCTCTAAAAATATTTTAGCATAAAAAAAAAAAATAAATGGGAACTTTCTCTGTCGATACATTTAAACTGCTACCGAATCGGCTAAAATTTTCGCGAATAACTTTTAATAGAGGAAATCTTACAATTATCAGTTATAGTTAATCCTGTATTTAAAAATAATTTGTTCATTAAAATATCTAATTTGAAACAATGTCATCTGGAGATAATAAAATAATCGAGGAACTGGTTCAAAATAGTGAAAAGGTTACACCTACAAATATAGGTCAAGAAAATGAGATACTTCAACAGAATCTCGACAATTTAAGTCCGAAACAAACCTCTACAAATTGTGTGATTCAAATTTCAACCGATCCTAAACCTGAATGGAATAATGAACAGATGGAATATAATTTAACGCGAAAATTTTCTATGGCAGAAGAAGACGTTTGCTTTCCTATAAAAACCAATAATAAACACGAAGGAATTGATTATGATGAGTTGGAAAAATATACGAGTGAAATAAATTCTACCGAGAAAGAAGAAAGTCAATGTTTGTCTCTTCTATCCCCTTCCTCCGGCAACCCATTAACTAGAAGAGTTAGTCAATTTAGTGAACGAACAAAGGTATTTATTATAATTAATTAATATATATATATATATTTATTTATTTATTTATTTATTTATATTTATTTATCTCGTGAATCATTCAATCACGATATATAGTCAGCAGAAATTACCGAGGAATATAGATATATATTTTATTCAAGTCTGATAGGAACGATTAGGGCAAAAACATTTACAGATATAGTGAAAAATTTACCTGATAAAATCGGAAATGTTTCTTCCAAAGGTACAACGATGTCCGAATTATTAAAGAAAGGATATTTTTGGATTGATGTGTTGGCACCAACAGAATCTGAAATGAGAATGTTAAGTAAGGTGCGAAAAATGTAATTTTTTCTTTATTTATCTAACATAATTTTATCTTTATTTATTTATCCAATATAATAATAATAATAATAATAATAATAATTAATATTTAATATTTACCTAAAATATATTATCAATATTAAAATATTTTTAGATTTTTCAAATTCATCCATTGACTGTGGAAGATATTGAAACCGAGGAAACCCGAGAAAAATGTGAACTTTTTAAAAATTATTATTTTATTAGTTTCGGGACATATGA